ATATTTTTTGGTATTTAATATTTATTTTTTTCAGAAATAATATTCGGACCGAAAACGGTCCGTATATTATTAGCGCGATTGTACTGTTGACTCTCGCCAGAAATATTTTTTGGTATTTAATATTTATTTTTTTCAGAAATAATATTCGGACCGAAAACGGTCTGAATACTATTGGCGCGTCTACACTGTGACTCCCGCTAGAAATATACGGACCGATACCGGTCCGAATATGTTCATCAGTATATTTTCCCCCACCGGAATATATTCAAACCGATATTGGTTCGAATATTTATTTTTTCGGACCAACACGTGTCGGTCCGTATATGATCGGTCCGCATACGTCATTTTTCTAGTAGTGGTTGCTTGTGTCTTTAATACCATAAAGCAAAATAATGCTTTCACTATATTATTAGGTATCCAGTATATGTACACTTGACTTTGTAGGCCGTTTGGTAATGGTGTGTATCATCCAGCTCATAACGCTGGGTTCAATGCCCCTTATCCCCAAAAATTGCCCTTGATAAAAAAAAAAAAGTATCCACTGTATGTATATATAGGAATTTGTTTAGTGAAATGTTGAATCTATCCGCGTACAATATATACATATATATTAACAAAAAGGTGTTTATTTCTTTTATAAAAAAAAAAAAGAAAAGAAAAGAAAAGAAAAAGAGCTTTTCCTTTTCCTCTCTTTACATGGGATATTCGATTCAATTACAACCAGTCCTTTCATCATCATCAAATACTGCTCTTTGATTTTGTATTTTGAATATTGTAGATTGATATTTGATTTGGGGTTAAAATTTTTGTTTTACATCTTACTCTTGTGCTCTAGTTTAGTCCTCTTTTTATTGATCTCATTAGATCTACACTAAAAGCATCCAAGATGTTTCCACTTTCCAATGAGGTTGACTAATTGAGATTGGGTGGTCATAACTTTCTAATAAGGTTGACTAGTTGAGATTGGGCCACCGCTCCCCTGTTCCGGGGAGTTAGGCTACAATCTCTTATAAAATCAAGTTTCCATTAGCCTTTCAAGGCTCAATCGGGTTTTCGGGTTCGGATCGAGAAGCTGCCGGATTATGTCTCTTGCGTGTTTCGACACCCAAGATGGCAATTCATATTGCCTCCGGAACATTTGACGATACATAATTGAGGGATTTCTGTAGTCAAACGGGAGAGATCCGGTCAGCAAGGTAATAGCATGACACGGCAGGACCACGCATCCGCCTTTGGACCGCTGTAGGCGCGCCGCTTTAGCATCTCCGGAGCTGGAAATGCAGGGGTTCCGCATGAAGTGTGGAGCAATCCGTTCTTAAGCTGCTCCGGTAGAGCTGAAAGTCCAAAATCAGAGACTTTGAGATTTCCGTTCTGGTCTAACAGAAGGTTCTGCGGCTTCACATCGCGGTGGGCAATCCCACTTGGTGACAGAAACGGAGGGCAGAGACGAGTTGGGAAAAGCAGCGGCCAACGTCGGACACCTTGAGATCCACCGCGTCTAAGTAGTACCTTTTCGAGGTCGCCACCGGATGCAAGTTCCATCACGAGGTAGATCTTTGTCTTGGAAGCCATCACCTCATGGATTTTGAGAATGTTAGGGCGATCCTGGAGGCGGCGCATCCCAGCGACTTCCCGGAGAAATTGGTCCTCCATAGCCACATCAATCTTCGTGGTTTTGTCAATAATTTTGATAGGCACCTCAGAATCATCCAGCAATGACTTGGCCCGATACACTTTGGGGAAGCCGCCTCGCCCCAGAAAGCAACTCAACTGGTACTCTTCGAGGAGGGTATTGATGGGAGGCGGCGGCGGGAGTGGTGGAGTGGGCAATGGAGCCCCTGCATTCATTACCTCGGAGGGTTGAAAATCATGAGAGTGCTACCTCGAGAGAAATTATGGGTTGTTCATGTTTTTATAGATGGACGGAGCGGGCTGGATTATGACTTTGTGTCCCGGTTTGGGTGGTTGGTGGAGAT